GTCCCAGCTACTCGGGAGGCTGAGGCAGTAGGATCGCTTGAGCCCAGGAGTTTGAGGTTGCTGTGAGCTAGGCTGACGCCATGGCACTCGCCCCAGGCAAGAGAGTGAGACTCTGTCTCAAAAAAAAACAAAATCCTACGTTGATCCCATATACTAACCTGGTGAGGCATTCCTATCCCCACTTTGCAGGTGTAGAAACCAAGGCACAGAGGAGTTAAGCAACTTACTCATGGTCATACAGCTGGCAGGTGCCAGAGTTGGTATCTGAAGCCAGAGCTGTCTGATCCCAGATGTTCTCATTTCCTGAGATTTTAAAATAAAGGAAGTATTGCTTTAAGTACTTGTCTGATAGCAAAGGACCCGTGTCAATCATCCATTCACTGAACAAAATGTATTAAGTGCCTACCCTGTGCCAGGCACTGTTCCAGGTATTGGGGATGCAGCAGTGAACTGAACAAAACCCTTGTCTTCTGGAGCTTACCTTCGGATCCTTGCTTTGTTAGAGACCCTGGAGACTAGAGGCTGTAGAGCTATAGACCTACATGAAGAGTCCAGGAGCCTGGGATCCCTTCATGCCCTCTGGAGAGCCCAGAAAAATCCTTTCCCTTCCCTGGACTCAGGTGCTGCCTCTGAGAATGAGGTGCTTGAATGAGAGCAGTCATTTGGGGTGACTCTGACGACATAATAGACGGCCTAGCCCAGACCTGCTGATCAGAATCTGTAGTTTTTGCAAGCTGCCAGGTAATTCTAAGGCAAAAAGTAATTTTCTGATGCGTAAACGGGCCCACCAACTCAGCAGTGCTCAGGGTGTGGGGGATCATCCATGTTAGACTTATTGGTGGTCCTGAGACAAAGCACATACCTCAACAGTCACTATTTTGAAGATAGAACTGGAAAAAAACCATTGTAAGCTAGCTCTCCAGGTGATTCTACTCATTGCGTCCCAGACACTGCTAAAGGATTTACAGGGATGACCTCATTGGATACAAGCTGTGAGATACAGAACCCTTTGTCACTCCACTTTACATTTGAAGGGGCTGGGGCTCAGAAACAGGCTCCCGATGACTGATGCCAGCCAGATCCTGCCCAGTCTCTGCCCTCTGTTGGCCCGAGTAGCTCTGCTTGCTGGCACAGTGTGTGGGTCACTCTGCAGGGCTGGGCTCATCGTCCCCCATTATCTGTTTCAGAAACACGAGTTCTCCGTGGACATGACCTGTGAAGGCTGCGCTGAAGCCGTCTCTCGGGTCCTCAACAAGCTGGGAGGTGAGCAAGTGGCCCTCAGCTGGCGGTGGGATGGGGAGACAGATACGCTTATATCATGTTCAAGTGCATGCAGACATAGCCGGACAGGCTTTAGTTTAAGCTGATAACAAAAATAAAATGTACCGAGTACTTAGCATGTGCCAAATACTATTCCTAATGGATTATGTGGATCACATCACATAATCCTCACCACAACCATTTCAAGTAGCTTCTTTGATTATCACCATTTTAAACAGGAGGGAACTGATGTTCAGAGAAGTTAAGTAACTTGGCTGGGATCACACAGCCAGTAAATGGCAGAGCTGGGATTTGGCCAAGTTAACTAGTACTGCCCGGGCTAGCTCTGGAGCCCTGGCAGTGCTAGTTAATATGTCTGTGATCTCCAGTGTGATAACTTTTGCTCTATGACACATTGGAGTGTCATTTTATGTTAAAAGATTTTTTTAAATGGTAACAATTTAAAAAGAATTAATTTTGAATCAGGCATGTGCAGAACTCTTAAAGCACCTCTTTTGGACATGCTTAGTAAATCAGTATTCTCATCCAGCCCCCTCATTTCATAGCTGGGAAACTGAGGCCCAGAGAGGGCTGGGATCTGGCCCTGGGGCTGAACAAGGTAATGGCTGAGTTGTGATCAGAGTTCTGGTAGTGCCCGGGCTCAGACAATCTTCTAAGATTTTCTTTTTTAAAACCCTAGATAATAACAACACACAGTTTTCGACTAGCTTCCACGTGAATGTGCGCTCATTAGCAGTCGTCTGAGCTGTACTTTCCATCTGTGGAAAGGGGATGTTGGTGCCAGTGCCAGGGAGGGGAAGTGACTTGCCCAGAGACCCACAGCAAATCAGTGGCTGGCCTCTAGCCCTGTACACTGCGATCTTAATCTGAAAGAATCTGAAACGGTGGAAGAACCTGACCGCTGACTCGCCACATGACTGTGGGCTCTTCTCCCTCAGGCCTGGGTTTCCCCAGCTGGGCTATAGTATGGGAATGTCAGTGTGTATGAGCTTTTGCCGTGGATGCTTTAAAAATGAAACTCTGAGGCTGGACACGGTGGCTCATGCCTGTGATTAATCCTAGCACTCTCGGAGGTGGAGGTGGGAGGATCACTTGAGGTCAGGAGTTGGAGACCACCCTGAGCAGGAGTGAGACCCCGTCTCTACTGAAAACAGAAAAATTAACCGGGCACAGTGGTGCGCACCTGTAGTCCCAGCTACTCAGGAGACTGAGGCAGAAGGATCGCTTGAGCCCAGGAGTTTGAGGCTGCAGTGAACTACAATGATGCCACGGCACTCTAGCCCACGCGACAGAGCAAGACTCTGTCCCCTCCCCCAAAAAAGAAGAAACTCTGCCCGGGATCCCCTCCTACACAAAGCAGCCAGTTCTGGATGAAGTGGGGCATGTGTACTTGTTGACGGCTCAAGGGCACCAGCCTGGGAACCTGGGCATCAAGGAATACAGTTTGAAATCCACTGTGTTTGACAATCTCAGAGTTTCTTCCAGCTCTATGATGTTATCAAAATGTTTATTCCAAGGAGGAGGGAGACTCTTCTGAACCAAAAAACAAAAATCCGGAGTGCAGCAAGGACATGTTGCACTCCTCCTCCCCCCGGTATCCATTATGTACAGATTCAGAGATTATGACTAAACCCTCTGCCGTACGATTTTTAAGGCCCACTGACTGATGCTGGAGGATCTGCCTTTGAGCTTCAACAGGTTTCTCCCCATCTTTCACTACTATCCCTAATTGGGTGGCCTCTTGAGAAGGGTCTGGAGGGTTCTCTGAGTTGCTTAGGGCCCTAGAAAAACAGTGCCTGGGCTGAAGAATCACAGACCAATGGTATCCTTGAGCTGGAAAGACCATTAGGGGCTGGCCAACCTTGACTCCTTTGTATACAGATAGGGAAGCTGAGGCCTGTGATGCACAGGACCGACCTGTTGTCACCCAGCAGGTCACTGGTGAGGCTACTGTAGAACCTATCAAGGGCTTTCCCTCTGCATCCTTTTTTTTTGTTTTTTTGAGATGGGATCTCGCTCTGTTGCCCTGGCTAGAGGATCACAGCTCACTGTAACCTCAAACTCCTGTGTTCAAGCAATCCTCCTGCCTCAGCCTGTCAAGTAGCTTGGGACTACAGGCATGTGCCACCACGCCTGGCTAATTTTTAAAACTTTTTTTTATCTGGAGATGGGGTCTTGCTGGGTTGCCCAGGTTGATCTTGAACTTCTGGGCTCAAGTAATCCTCCCACCTCAGCTTCCCAAAATTCAGAGATTACAAGTGTGAGCCACAGCACCCAGCCCCTCTGCATTTATCTCATAAAAAGATAGGTCCCCCCAATGTGCTGTTGGGGGGGCTTTAAATTGGCACAGCCATTTAGGAGGGCAATTTTGCAGTATCTATTAACATGTTAACATTCAAAATATGTCAAATATATGTTGCCCCACAATTTCTGTTCTATGAATTCAAGGTGTGGAGATATTTTCACAAGTTTTCTAATATACATTCAAGTATGTTTACTATATAGCATTATGTGATAGTAGTGAAAAATTGGAAGCATCCTTAGTGTCCCTCAACAGGGAATGGAGTAATTAAGTAGATGTATGATACATCCACACTAGGGAAGACTACGTAGCTTTTAAAAAAAGAATGAAGTAAGTCTGTATATGCTAAGATGGGAAGATAGCCTGAACATTGAAAAGTGAAATATTAGCAAGACCTGTTTATATGCTGTGATGCCATTTGGCGGAATTATTTTTCATTTGTCTGAGAGGAAGACTAGATAGATGCCATATTGTTCACATTGATCTCTAAGGTGGGATCAGTAGGAGGCCTGATACTTTCTACTTTTATTCAGAAATGTTTACTTTTTTTTAAAATAAATGGTGTGTCCATAATTAAAATTAAAAAAAAAACTTAAAAGAAGTCCTAGTATAGAGCAGGGAGTAAAAAACTATAGCCCATGGGCCAAATCCAGCCCACTGCCTATTTTTGTATGGCTAAGAATGGTTTTTATGTTTTTAAAGGGTTGTCAAAAAATACAGAAGGGTATGCAACGAGTCCATATGTGGCTCACAATGGCTAAAACATTTACTCTCGGGCCCTTTACGGAAAAGTTTGCTGATCCTTGGTTTAGAGGAAAGGGGAAGGGTGGTTGTGAGCAATAATTTAGGAGCCTGAACTCTTTCTTACTGTAACTGGGATGGTCTCTGCTTCCTCTCCCCACACCCCGTTTCCTCTTCCTGCAGGAGTTAAGTATGACGTTGATCTCCCCAAGAAGAAGGTTTCCATTGAATCTGAGCACAGCATGGATACTCTGCTGGCGACCCTGAGGAAAACAGGAAAGACCGTTTCCTACCTCGGCCCCGAGTAACAAGGGCCTGGGCCCCCTGGCCAGCAAGATGGACCAAAGGGGCCAGGTAGGTGAGGCCCCTTGTTGAGCAAACCTGCTGCTCGTATCTCTCATCAGAGGTAATACCTTGACCCTTTGGGAGCTTGAGTGGAGCAGGAGAGTGTCTTGGGTTCTTTTCAGTCCACTGTCTGCCTTTGAAGTGGTCACAAATATTTCACTATTGTCTGTTGCAAATCACAAGTCCAGGGAATCTCTATAGGCCCCTTTGCGTAGACAGAGCATTGTGTAATGTCTCCCAGAGTCCCCTTTAGGACTTGGGAGTGCATTTCATGGTTAGCAGGTTTTAAATTGAGACCCTGAGCAGTGCTCCTTTGGTAGTTTTTTTTTTTTTTTTTAAGAGATGGGGTCTTGCTATGTTGCCAGGGCTGGAGGGCAGTAGCTGTTCACAGCCATGTTCATAAGGTACTATACGCTTGAACTTCTGGGCTCAAGTGATCTCTTGCCTCAGCTTCCCAAGTAGCTGGGCCTATAGGAGTGTGTACCGCACATGGCTCTGGCTTTGATAAATTGACTGTCCCATCAGGTTTGGTACCTGTGTCCTAGGCATGCTCCTATGCTCTGACCAAGTGAGTTAATTCAGACTCTGCCCCTCTCTCTACTTGAAACTGCTGTCACCTTCCTAAGTATGCCCTCTGCCCAGACTGGTACCAAAGCAAAAGAGCATCTGAGCTAGCTATTCCCTTCAATTATGTAATCCAGGGAGGCAGTAAGTGGCACTGTGCCAATACTCCTCGCTCTGAAACCAGGGCAGACCTTACTCACTGATCCAGCCGCAGTCTCAGCAGGATGCTCCTGGCTGTCACTGCCCATGTAGTACATTTGACTCACGAATTACAGTGATTGTCACATCCCTGATGTGGTTCAGTGCCCTCACTGTGATCGAGGGCAAGTGACTTGACCAAACCCCACCCAGGTGAGTGGCAGAGACAGGAAGAAAGTCAGGTATCCCGATTTGGAGTTCTGTTACCGATGACATTGTCCCCATAACGAGTCCCTGGAGAAGTCCCCAGATAGAGGCAAGCTACAACCATTGAGTGGCACGTGAGAGCCCCCTGCGAGTACAGCCTCCTTCTTAAAGGAATATATTTGGGACCTGAGCCATGGCAGTGTTGCGTGTATATGGTGACAACACATGCAAGTCATGAGATCTCAGATGCATCCGGTTTCCATCTGTGGATACAACCCGTGGTCAGCAATAAGCCCAGGAAGAATAATGAGGGTTCTGGGATTCCAGTTCCAGCTCTGCCCTCACTTCACCCTGTGACTTGGGCACTTTTTACATTCCTGAGATTTGGTCCTTGTATCTGTAAAATGGGGCTAAAACCTCCACCCTATTTTCCTGCTTTATAAGGGAAGGAAAGTAGTACAATCCTTTCAAACATGAAGAATTGTCCCCTAAGGGAGTAAAACATTATCAGTTTCCACCCTGATGTGGAACAGTGTTCCCCATGTTGCTCCTCCATCGTGAGGGTTTTGTGGGGAGGGTTAGCGGGTGGACTCTGGACCCCTCTTTCGCTCCCGAAGGGCCCTGTTTCATATTGTTTCAAATTCAATCTCTGTATAAGATTGTATTTGATAAAAGTGCCCTGTGACAAGAATGAATGAAGGGAGGGAAGAGAAAAGTTCCTGAGCTGGCTGTATACATGGGTGCGGACACCTTGGATTGGAAACTTTTGGCCTGGGCATATGAATTTTTTTAACTAAAAAGTAAGACCTGCTGGTTGTAAACCCTGTGTAGTTTAATGTGTATTTTTCTCATGTGTTTTAATTGAGGTGAAATTCACATGACATACAATCCAAGTGGACCATGCACTGACTACTGCGTTCACAGTGCTGTGTGGCCACCACCCCTCTCTAGCTTCAAAACCTTTTCGTCATCTCAGAAAAACACCCCTACCCATTAAGCAATCACTCCCCGCTACGCCTCTCTCCATCCCCTGGCAGCCACTAATCTGTTCTCTGCCACTCTGGATTTGCCTATTCTGGACATTTCACGTAAAAGGAATTAAATGATATATGACCCTTTTGTGCCTGGCTTCTTTGACTTAGCATGTTTACAGGATTCATTCAAGTGGTAGCATGTGTCTGTACATTATTCTTTTCTGTGGCTGAATAATTCTCACAGTTTTTTTTTTTTTTTGAGACAGAGTCTGGCTCTGTTGCCCTGGCTAGAGTGCCATGGTGTCAGCCTAGCTCACGGCAACCTCAAACTCCTGGGCTCAAGCAATCCTGCTACCTCAGCCTCCCGAGTAGCTGGGACTACAGGCATGTGCCACCATGCCCGGCTAATTTTTTATATATATATATGTTTAGCTGTCCAGATAATTTCTTTCTGTTTTTAGTAGAGATGGGGTCTCGCTCTTGCTCAGGCTGGTCTCGAACTCCTGACCTTGAGCAATCCTCCCGCCTCGGCCTCCCAGAGTGCTAGGATTACAGGCATGAGCCACCGCGCCCGGCCCACGGTTTTTATTAATTTTAGCGTTTTTGTTATAGGAAGTTTTTCAAACTTATGCGAGCAGAGTTATAAAATGAATCCTCAAGTACCCAGATCCAAGAATTACTAGATCATCAAGAATTGCTAGATTACTCAAGATAATTACTAGATTAATCAAGAATTGCTAGATTACTCATCATTGCTTCATTTATGCCACAGTCCCCCACCAGATTATTTTGAAGCAAGTCCTAGACATGATATAATCTTGTCCGTACGTGTTTCAGTAACCGTGTGTGGCAGGGAAAGGCTCCCCGAGATTCAGGTGGCAGTACTCGGTAAGAATCGCCCAACAAGCGCTTCCCCCTACACACTCAGGCAGCATCTGTCTTTAGAGTCTGTTTTAAGAGGCTCCCCAGTGACCAGGTTTGGGAAGCACAGAGATAAAGTGTTTCTTGGTTATGAAGTCACCTTGATTGTCTGGCTCTTGGTGGATTTGTTTGCTCGTGATTTTATCCATTGCATTCCCAGCATAAACTGAAACAGGACAGGGAGCACTGTTGGCTGGGTACCCCACCAGCCCTGGGAGTTCCCCAGAAGAGGGCTTCAACAGTGATTGGCTTAGCAAGGTTAATGGGTTCCGACCACCCCGAGTGTAACATACTTGGTAGGAGCCGTGTGCAGGGCCGGACACTGGGGTTCTAGTCCCGCTCCTGCACCCTGGGTTTCCAGCTCACCCCCAACCACTGCTTCTTAGTGCGACTTTTGCTGCTTTGCAGTGTCACCATGTCTGCAGCAGATGGCGCCTTTTCATCTCTCCTGGGATGCTGATCCTCCTGGCTTCCAGACAGACCTGGGACTTGGCAGTCCTACTCAGCGATGACGTGTCTGCAAAGACCCTCACTTACCCCGCTCCTTCCTAGCTTCCCTGCAATAAAGTCAAGCTGCTTTTGTTGGAGATGTTGTCTCGTGTGGGCTTGATGTCGCCTGCTTGGACTCCCCACTTTGAAAAACCTTTGTCCATCAGGTGAATTGCATTTAAGCTGTATGAAATGCCAAGGCAGTTAGAATAGTGGAAAGAGGCTGCGGAGACAGACTGCCTGGGGTAGAGTGCAAGCTCCAGGACCTCCCAGCTCGGCCATTCACCTCTCAGGGTCCACAGGCATAAAATGTGATAATAGCACCTATGCAAAAGGTGGTTGTAGAGATTAAATGAGGCGGTCCATGTGAACCAGTTAGAGCAGTGCTTGCCAGTTAGAAATCACTCAGGAAACATTTTCTACTCACTCATTGTTGTATATTTCATTAGTCAAAGATCTGTAGAAACAGCAATTAGAATTCCAGTCAAGCTAAGAATTAGTGCCTCAGAGTTGACTCAATTATGTCAAAACAAAGGAAATGTTTTCATTTGTGTAGCTTAAATTTTTTTAAATGTTTTTCTTTAAACCAACAGTTCTTAAACTTTTTAATCTTATATACTTTTTAAAATTATTGAGGATCTCAAACATTTGGTTATGTGGATTATACTGTATTAGAAATTAAAATGGGAATTTTAAAAACACAGGAATATGCAGGCACACATCTCATTTGCCATCTGGACTAGATGAGGCCACTGCATGTCCCACTCTGGAAAACGTCACCATACGATTGCTAGGAGAAAGAGGAAAAGACATCTTACAAAAGTTGTCTTTACCTCATGTACCTTCTGAAGAGGTCTTGGGGACCACATGGTGAAAACCACTACTTTAACCATTTATTGGGCACATACTGGGGACCCAACACTGCTGGACCCTGGGAGAAGACCTGGCTCTGCACTGGGCCAGCCACGATTTTGGACCAGTCACTAATCTCTCCCAGAAGCAGTGTCCTCATCTGCACAACGAATAATACCTGCACCTCAAGGGACTTACTAGGCAGAAATAAGACTTTACTTCAACTCTAAACTGGTGTGCTAGCATAACGTTAGTCCTGTTACGAAAGTTCTAAACAAGTCTCAGGGCCATTTCTGCCTTTATGGTCCCTTGGGGGCACAGGGACTCCTTCGCAGCCCTTGAAGTATGTGGGTTTCTTAGCCACCAGGTGGCGATGTCCTTTGGACTTGCTCATCCACGGAGAAGTTTGACAGTTTCTGCGGGCTCTGGGAGGACAAACGTGATTTTTTCCATTTCCAGTTTCCCCAGGAGCCCTGGTTTAGGCTGGCTGGCCCACTGGGAACGCCCAAGGTTTGAGACACTGGTGCCTCTCAGAGCAAGTGGTCCTCAGAGGAATTCATTTCCCTTGACTCTATACCACATTTCCAGCTGAGGCACTTGGCTCTGTTCTCCAGGGCCCCAGAGGGGTTGGAGAAGCTCCCCCACCTACCACCAGCCCAGTCGGCTGTCCATGCAGCAAGTGAGATCACAGCAGAGCACACGCTTCTGCAGGGGTGGGAGTGGGCAGCAGATGTGTCCACCTGTGGCTCAGGGCTTCCTCCAGCACCTGGCCCCAGCCCACCTGCCCAGGCACTCCCTCTTCTCACTGCAGCCAGCCTGCTCCCCAAGTGTCCTGCTTTTGCTCATGTTGCCCCCGGCGAATGGAATGACATCTGCCGCCAGCCTCCCCTCTCTCCGTGTACAAATTCCTTTCCCTCCCTTACATACCATGGCCTCCATGAAACCTCCCCACAACTGGAAGTAATTTATTTCTCCTCTTGGCCTTCAAAGCATTTATCTTGCAAGCTTCCATGTCGTGGCAAAACTTTCCATCCACGTATCTTTCCCATCCTCAAGGATCAGGCCAAGCATCTCTTCCCTCAGCACACGGAACAAGCACTTGGGGAATATTGATGGATGAGTTGTGGCTACCATTTTGGGGGTGCTTATTAAGTGCCATGCCCTCCCATCTGTCTCATTCCATCCTAACCTAGTCACCGAAAGGTATGGACTAGGACAGACCCTCACACACGTTAGGTGCTCAGTAGGCGTTGATCAAGTTAATCTTACAGAAGAGGAGATTGTCTTGTCTGTCTAGTGTAATCCTTTTAGCAGGTTTATATTCCTGTCAAAGATCCCTGGTTGTGAGTACAGCAGCCCAAAGCCAGCCCTGGAGTGTTCCCAGTAGCTGTCCATCGTTTCTGTGTTTGATGGGGCAAAGCTCCCACTCACTTTGCCTTCATTGACCTATCCATCCACCCAGTGGCCAGAACCTTGGCTTGTCCAGTACTAACCTCACAACTAAAGAGAAGCCACTTTTGACTTTTTTTTTTTTTGAGACAGGGTCTTGTTTTGCCACCTGTGCCAGAGTGTAGTGGCATCATCGTAGGTCACTGCAACCTCAAACTACTGGGCTCAAGCAATCCTCCTGCCTCAGCCTCTCGAGTAGCTGGGACTACAGGTGCGCGCCACCACGCCCAGCTGATTTTTCTATTTTTTTGTAGAGATGGGGTCTTGCTACGTTGAGCAGGCTGGTCTCAAACTCTTGGCCTCAAGCGATCCTCCTGCCTTGGCCTCCCAAAGTGCTAGGATTACAGGTGCGAGCCACTGCACCCAATTTGATGTGTGTTTGTTTTGATTTGTGTGTGTGTGTATTTCTACCCAGTTTCAAACCGGGGTCCTTTCACATGTGAGGTAAACATGATAACCTGTTCTGACTTTTGGGTTTTATTTTTTAATAGGTTTTTTGAGGTAGAATTTTATTCAATAAACTACATATTTAAAGTGTATATAATTTTTTTCTTTTTTTTTTTGAGACAGAGTCCAACTGTGTTGCCCAGGCTAGAGTGCCGAGGCATCAGCCTAGCTCACAGCAACCTCAAACTCCTGGGCTCAAGTGATCCTTCTGCCTCAGCCTCCTGAGTAGCTGGGACTACAGGCATGCGCCACCACGCCCGGCTAATTTTTTCTATATATTTTTAGTTGTCCAATTAATTTCTTTCTATTTTTAGTAGAGACGCGATCTGGCTCTTGCTCAGGCTGGTCTCGAACTCCTGAACTCAAACAATCCGCCCGCCTCAGCCTCCCAGAGAGCTAGGATTACAGGCATGAGCCACCGCGCCCGGCCTAAAGTGTATATAATTTTTAATATATATATCTTACACACACACACACGTGAAACCATCACCACAATCAAGATAATGACCATATTAATCATCTCAAAAAGTTTTCTCACGCCCCTTGGTAATGCCTCCCATCCTATCCCCATTCCCAAGTAACCACTGATCTGTTTTTTGTCACTATTAACTAGTTTGTATGTTCTAGAGTTTTATATAAACACAATCGCAGTGTATACTCATTTTCATCTGGCTTTTTTCTTTCCACATATTTATTTGGATATTTACCCATGTTGTAGGTATCAACAGTTCATTTCTTTTTATCCCTGAGTAGTAAGTATGCTACTGTATAGATACACCACAGGTGTGATTCATTCCTCTGCTGATGGACATCTGAGTTGTTCGCAGTTCTTTAAGCTGTTCTCATGCTAGCGAGGTTCCCACAGGCCTCCCAGGATACAAGGGAGAGTCTCAGTGGGCTGGACTCTTCCAACCCAACACACCCAAACCCAAATCAAGACAGCTTAGCTCTTTGTTTTATCTCCTGGGCTTCCTCCTACAGCCCAACAGTATTAAGCCCTGTTCTGGACCTCAGCAGATCTGAATTCAAATTCCTTCCCCACCACTTAATAACTGTGTGACCTTGGAAAAGTAACTGATTCTTCTCTGGAACTATTTTCCTTATCTGGAAAATGAGGATTATAATAGTATCTGCCAGACTATTGTGAGAATTAAACAAGATCATCATGTACCTAATTCTTGCTAATGGCATTCCATAAATAGTGTTTTGTTTGACCCAAAAGTTTCACAATGATATCACTTGAAGTTTCAAAAACTTCACATCTAGATCCCTTCAACCCTGGCAGACTATGAGAAGTAAAAATGGAACCTCAAGGATTGTGCCGTGTGGGAGAAGAACAGTTGTTCAGGTCACCACCCTCTCTCCACGGCATTCTCCTTTAATTAGTGAGAGCCTCTTAAAAAGCCTAAGTCTGTAATTTCTTGGGAGTGTCCATCAGAGCTGCTTTTAGACTTCCATGTCTTTAGGGTCTGTGGCCACTTAGTTTAAGCGGACAAGTCTTCTAATCTGCTTCCTGAGAGAGGGCGGGTCTGTATGTCCCTGCTCAGATCTCATGACTAGAGGCTGGAGCCTTGAACGAAAACCTCAAAGCCTCTGGAAATAAGGGTGCCACCTCTTACTGATCTGTTTCTCATGGGCTCTTAGGATCTTCATCCTTTTAGAACAGCAGATCCCCAGACTCCCAGAAGCAGACTGTATCCTGGCTCAGAACACAGGCTGTGCAGACAGACAGGCTGTTTACCAGCTGTGTGAACTTGGGCAAGTCGCTTCACTGTCCAGGATCTCAGTTTTCTCACCTGTGAAGTGAGAAGAATAATAATACCTTCTTAGAGCAAAGTGAGAAGATACCTGCACGTGGAAGAAGCTCAGTGTGGCTACTGTCGTCCTCATTGCAGGATGTCAGGAACGGAGGAGACCTGAGAGGGGCACGGCCAGCTGCGTGCTCTGGACAGCTCTGCCAGGGGAGTGCCGACGTCGAACCCACCCCCGTCTCCCTGGCATTTCTCACGACCGGAGCTGGGTCTGTCCTAACTGGCAGGGCGATAGTCCAGCCCTTGCCCGTGCCGGATCCTCAGAGGCAGAAGTCTTTCCCTTTCCCATCCTCCCACCCCTCCCTCCTCTACTCCGCAAGGAATGTCCTGGATTCCCTCCCTCAGCCATTCCTCAGGAGCAGAGTTTTGAATTATCAGGACCGCCTGGTCACTAGCCCCTTCGTTGATGGCTCTTTGATAGTGGAAGCTGAGAAAACGTGGAAAAGGCCACGCAGTTGTGGGGCCCCACTGGAGAGAGCTGGGCTGTGCTGAGAGAGCCCGAGGTGATCGCGTGGAGGGAATCCGGGGACTGC